AATTTCCAGAAACGAAACAGTTAATCTTGCTGTGATGAAGTGTAGTCTGCATTAGTAATATGCGACAGTTAACCACTAGGAATGTTAAGGTGTTAATTTCTTTCTGGTAATTTTAATCTATCTTCATTTTCGGTAATTGAAACTATTTTTAAAATTTAATATCTCGAATAACTCTCAATTATTTCTTTAATAAATCATAAATTTTAGTATCAATGCACATTGATCTAAGTCAGAATAAATAATTTCTTGGTATAAAAAATGCAAAATTTGGACTCAAATGAGTATCAGAAATTCTGATAATAATAATTGACAAAAAATTACTTTAAATTCAGGAAAGGGATAACTAATAATTTTTCTTATTTCTTATTATATTTTTTTAATTTGGTTTTGCTATATTTATTAAAAATTATTATTCAATATTACTATTATTATTACTATTATGCTATTATTATTATTCATCAAAATCCATCAACATGTTAAGGACTCCAGTTCCTATTCTTGTTTTATCAAAAATGTTTAAAAATCTTATGTCCATTACATTTTAATCATTTTCATTTCGTTCTGAAAATGTTGCCACAATCATTGTTTATTTCTTTTCTATTGTTTATTTATTTTTATTTCATTTTTGTTTATAACGTATGGTCATAAGCCTCATTTTAAAATTTAATACTAATCTTAGTTTTCAAAAGTACCCTCTAAGATTTTAAAAATCTTAACATTTGATAGTGGAAATGCAATTTAGAATACTCAGTTATATATTAAACGTTGATTAAAATTCGAGATATGGAAATGAGATTTTAAGTTCAAATTCTAATTATATATATATATATTTTAGGCAGGAGACGTGAAAAATGTGTAATACCCTCTTCGGGACTCGAACCTGGACTTCTCGAATATGCACCGAGTGTCGAGTGTAAACCTTTGCACCAGAAGACATGTTAAGAGGAGGGAGAAAATACTTTAAAGGGAGCCTGGGGATTAGGGGACCCTATCGTAAAATCGTGGTGGGGACGAATTATTGTTATTATTGTCCTTTTAGTTCGGGCGCTACTGTAGAGTCATTAACATTTTTTAAAGCAGAAATCATGAAATATGAGCAATGAACTCGCCGGGACTCTAACCTGGACCTTTGGAATATGCGTACAGTGTGCACAGTATGTATTTCAATCACTGCCTTTGTATTTTAATATTAAACAATGTTATAATAATAACAATGGGATTTTTCAATATGAGCGGATAAATTGTTTGATTACCTATTATTTGTTATTGGAAAAGTTTGCTTAGAATATGCCCAAGGATCTGGAATTGATTAATAACGCTGTAGAGACATTAGGTGGGGATTTTTTATTACAGCAGGAGACGTGAAAAATGTACAGTCCCTTCATCGGAACTCTAACACTAGACTTCTCGAATACGCGTCGAGTGTGCTTCCAATTACACCACGAAGGCATGCAGAAAGAAGGGAGAAACTACCTTATATGCTTCCCCTTTTGAAAGGCGACTGAGGATTAGGAGACCCAGTAGTCAAATCCTGGTAGTGAAGAATCATCACCCACTACCTTTTATTCGGGCACTACTGTAGAGGCATTAGGGATTTTTTGATACAGAAAACATAAAAAATGCGCAGTGGCCTGGCCAGGACTCGAACCTGGACTTCTCGAATATGCGCCGCATGCGCTACAGTTTTATCAAGAAGGCATGTTTGAAGGAGGAAAGAAAATAAACTTACTAAAAGGAATTTACTGCATGCATCAGATAATATGAGAAGTTTTGGTTAAAGCATATTGTCTTTTGGTTTAAAAACCCCTTTCTAATTTAATGACATTAAAAATGCCATTTAAAATCAAAATAATCGTAACGGAAATAAACGACTTGAAATTGGATATCTTTCCGATGCAGTCTCAGTTACTGAAGTTAGCTATAATTTTAGGTTCAAGTATCAGATGTTTTAAATTTAAGTATCTTCCGATTTATAATAGTGTGTGATAGAACGGAAATTTTACGTTTATAACCAAAAAAGAACACAACGTTCATCTCACTTTCAGGTAACTGAACTTTCCTTAAAAGTAGCTGAAATAGCCTTTCATATCACCGTCATATTATCCGAGAATAAAACTAGGAAACAGGAATGCTAAAATTCAGTATTTTTGTGCAAATTCCCAGGTTCAGTTAGTTCACTATTAAAATATGCAACAAATGAGGCATTTTTTCCGCAGCAGTTTTACCTGCATTGTTTCTTTTGGTACTGTTGCTCTAACGTTTTCCTTTTTTTCTGTTTGTTGTGGTTGTACGTGAAATTATTATTCTACTCTTTCATCTTAAATCCAGTTTAACAGCATTTGCATATATATCGAAATTTACTAAGTGATCTTAAACTATGCAAATTATTATCATTTTAGGAGAGATTCAATATGCCCTCGCTAAGATTCAAGTCCTATTGCAATTACCAGATGGACGGGCTAATTACTTAAGCCCCAAGAGCACAAGGAAGAGAAAGCAAATATTTTATTTATTCTTCATTTCGCTTCTTAAAAGGTGATTGGAATGATGTATAAAGACCTAGTCGACCGAACTTCAGGTACCGATGAAATATTGTTCTCCGCCTTTTAGTTCAAATGCCGCTGCCAAGATCACTTTTCCAAAGTTAAAAAAATCTTAAAAAACAATTGTGCCCTCGCATGGATTTTAACCACGTATTTTCTGTTTACCAGATGAGATTTTCCATGTTCGATTTAACATAACCACTTACACCACGAATCGGCAAACGCAAAAATTCCTCACAAAATTAAATCGATAGAATGCGTTGATTCATTTAAGATGAGAAATAAATTTAATGCCATGGATATTATAATACGTCCAGTCACGAAATTTTTTAATCTTTAAATCATAAATTTTGAGCACATTTTCAAAATGAGACCCTTTCGCAGCAATAAACTTCTACTTTGAAACACATTTGCAATATTTTGCTTAAGATACACTACAATTTATTACAATTATTATGTGTTTAGCTTCTTTTTGCTAAAACGTCGATGATCCTGATGTCGAGGTACCCTTTCAGGAGACCGGTAGAAGAAAAGACTTAAAGGAATACAATAGAAATTGGTACAAGAGCGTCTGTTTTGAGAAATAATTTGGAAACCAAGAACGATCTTTGGACTGCAGCGTTATCATGTTTCTCCAGTCGACATTTCCATTGCAAATAATATACTTAATGTAAAAAACGAAGTCATGTGTGGTCTCACCTATGTAACAATCTTTGAGAAAAATCTAACAGCACAAAGAATGTGCAGACTTCCATTGTGTTAATGTTCGCCTAGTGCTCTGTATATGAAACACTTTTGGCACCGTCCAGACGATATAGTGGTTAGAGGAACCTACTGCAGTACCGAAGGAGCCGGTTAAAACCTCGGAGAAGGCAGGGACGTTTGTAAATGTTTTGTAGCATGGGGAGCACTCTAAATATATGGCGAGCCGAAAGTCCTCTCGAGAGTTAATGTGGTAGGGGAAGAGGGTTGACAGACCCCCGGACCCGTCCCTCACGGGTTGCTCTCCATCAGAATTGGGGGTGGAACAGAGTGAAATCGAACTGTCACCTGTATATTGCTCAAGGCTCTTATCAACGACAGGCGCAAACTTGCTGTCCTTGCCACGATGAATATTGTAGGCTTATTCTGATGCTACTGTCACACAAGTGAGATAAGTCCCACAACACACACTTTCGGTTCGTTTTCATTTCATTCGGTATCACCATCATCCGAAAGCATCCGCAACATTGCCTAATATTTTTCAATTTTAGAGCTAACTGCTGTTGCGTCATTATGTGTAAGACAACGCGTTTACAGATTCTCTGCGACTTCTTTTCCCCTGTTATTTTCTGCTGATATTCTGTATCATCTGCTACCTGCCGCCATTGCAACAATTCGTAAATTTCTTGGCGGTAATTACATATATGTTCCGTACAAATTGTACAAAAAAATTAAATGCTAAATTTTATAAAATTTTGCATTTAATGCCATGCTTTAATTTAATAAATGACTGTAGTTTTGTGTTTCTTATATCAATAAACAATAGTTTTCCCAAATTTAAATAAAGACTGATTTTAATCACATCGAAAAAAAGGTACTTAAAATAATACTGTTACGAATTTGGTATTTAAAAAGCTAATGTTAGTTCAATTATAAATTAAATGGTTTTATTTCTCGCGCAGTGCAGCGCGTGACGAATATTAAAAGAAAGCTAAGCCGGAAAAATTAAAAATACAAGAGCGCGTGCGTTAAATAAATAAATATCTCTTTTTGATTTCGAGAAAGTGCTAATTCTAGCGCGTGATTTTAAAATCTTATAAAAGGAGGAAAACATCTCAGTTTGTAGTAGTTGCTTAGTTTGTTGTTGTTTAGAAAACTACTGTTGTTGATTGTAGCGAATTCGCGGATTAGCGTTCTTTAGCTGTTTTGAATTACGTTCTATTGGACATTTGAGCAGTTAAAAGATAACTACTGTGAGATATTGTAATACTGCCTGATAATTTGAGAAAATTTAAGCATTTTTGTTGTGATAATAATAAATTTTTGTTCATTTTTCATCGGACTTGTGCATTCATTTCATAACGAACCCGTACGCACGCAACAATACTTACATCACTGAATAGAAAATATTCTATATTGGGCTTTAATATAAAAGTGCGCTGTTGGGACTTGAAAAACACAAAACTATTGAAACTTGCGTTGACTGCCATGCTTATTTGTCATTTATTGCCTATCTAAAGCTTACTTTTTTACTGCTATTCCATTTTATTTTATCAGTTTTTCCCAGTTTCCAAATCGGCTTATATAAATCTCAAATACTAACTTACAGTTTAAAAGAAATTTCAGTAATACGAAAGCTTCTAACATGAATAAAATATTGAATAAAGAATAAACCTGTCATGTTTTGTGCTGGAAAATTTCTGATACATTCTCAGAAATTTCTAATTTTACGTTATTGAATTCTTTCTCTTTTAGATTGCCATCTTCAGTGTTATGAGAGGACCGTTTGTGGAAGAGTTTTATCAATGCGTAACATACGCTTTCTATACAGCTCAATGGCAAGAACAGCTCTACACAACTCTCAGTCTCGTGTTGATGTTCCTTTTACCACTTGTGATCCTCATCACCACTTACATAGCTACTTTCCGCACCATTGCCAGTAAGTACCTCCAAATGATTTCTATAATTGTATTCTATTCTATTATAATTAAAAGTAGAATAATTTTAATTTGAACAGTTGATTTCGGATGCGATTTAAGTACGTACTTAATATAAAATCTGAAAGCTTTAAAATTTTATATTAAGTCCAAAGAGCGTTTTTTTAACGTTTTATTTATTAAATATCGTGTTCTTCGCACTTAAAGCATAAAATTTAGTTCAACAGCAATGTGGCAAAATAATTTTAAAATTAGCATATCTTTAGAATGTCCGATACACAGTCTCGCGTGCTGGAGATAAATTTTTCTTTTCGTGCAGTGCTGTTCGCTTTTAAATCGTTCAGTTTGTTAATCAAAAATTCGTTAAAGTTTTACGGAATATGAAATAGATAATAAAACAAATTCCTAATTCCAAATGCCCATATTCGGGTGGAAACGTACGTTATTCAAAATTTGAAGGCTGTAGGTACCGTTGTTCACAGTCGAAGAACCATACATGCATATAATGCAGGTCTCTAATATTTGGTGGCCAATTTGAAAAGTGAAACGCCGTTTTATAGTGGACGACGCAAAATGCCAAAATTAAATTAATAGCCCTTCTGGAAAAATTACCGCTTTCTGCTAATAAATTATTTTTCAGTTTCTTAAATGTAGAAAAGATATAAGATCAAACTAAAAGCTCTTGCAAGTGTTAGCTTATGATTGCCAACTATATGCATAATCAATAAATGTCGGAAAGTGAGTCTTTTATAACTGTAGGCAATTATAACCGTGAACGGGTTAGGTTTAGCCTAATAAGATTAAGCAGTATGAGAACTGAAGACTGGTATTTGATCCGGACTTAAATCCCGATGCCAAACTGGCTGGTTGCTTGGAAGCTTTCCTCAGATGTAAAGTGAATATGAACCATTTTCTTTATCAAAAAATCTTCACGAAAGCAACCCTACTTTAGGCAGATGATTCACAAAGACTTTGCCGTACCACAAACAACCCAATTCAATATGATTTAAATGTATATTCATGAGCATTTCAATAAAGGTTTTACAAAGTAATAACAAAAAAAAACTTTCACCTTTTCAAATTTTGAAAACTTTGTTAGTATTTATTCAAAAATTCTTCCGAACATTTGCTTATAACTGTGGAATGAAATACGTTCGTAAGTTTTCAGAAGTAGGGAATACGTGTTCGTAAAGTAATGTATGAAAGTATTTACTATAAATCTGTTTAAATAATTATATTTAGCTTAATTGTTATGTAACTCCTATACACTTAACAAGTTATCCACTATATAATTACGTTCCAGTAGTTATTTTTAGTTGACGAAAGTAAAATCATTTAGAAAACTAGAATTAACGCTGTAAGAAACCTGAAAATTTCTGTCTAAAATATCAGTGAATCTTCCATATATGCACTTTTTTCATTCACAATATAAACCCGATCTATCATTTTTCGGTGAGGTGAAGGGGAAAAAAGTGAATGCCTGTAATCTATTAAATCTAGACAATAATTACAAATTGTTTAAGCACTTTCAAATTGCAAAAGAATAACATTTATTATTTTCAACTTAAAAATTATTTTTCAACGAAAGAGGCATATATTTTACTTCACTTCTGAAGACTTGTCTTCTTTCATACACGAATATTTGAGTTTTTAAATGCTTTCAAGCTTCGCAATGCATCCACTATGTGCACAGGAAATGTTTATCTTTTGTAAAACTTTCTAATTCCGGTGAAAGCCGACACCATCTCTTGTTTATTTTCTATACACTTTATAGATCTAGGATTAAATTTAACCCTAAAGCCATACTAGCAGGAATCAACTGAAGAAAACTAACAGAAATAAATTTATTGCAGCCTATAATAATGTGAATACATTTGAAAATAACTTTAGAAACTCAGACATTGATCAGAAGGCCACGAGCAAAGAAGCGTTAATGTATTATAGTGTTGCAAGGTTTATAATGAGAAGAAAATTTAATGCAAATCATAGATAGCAATTTTACTTAATTATTTTTCCCTAAATATTCACACAGAAAATACTGTCTGCGATTTAATTTAAAAATTGCTAATGGGATTGTAGGGGTTTATTTTAATTTCCTAATACTTATTTTTATTTTTAAACATGCTGTCCTTTAATTTCTCATTTCCCACCTACAATTCCCTGCCAGAATGAGTTTTCAAGATCGTGTTTTATGTAAATAAGGTGAAACCAGTATTGAAGTGTCCGTCACTTCAGTAGAAGAACTTAGAAGTCTTTAGTAGAACATGGTCTGCTTTCTGGCCACGTCGTTGCTTTAAGTCTAATCTTAGCATACAGCCGTATTTTTAGGTATCTGCTAATATTTTTATGTGTCTACTAAAGATCGTTTTATTAAGAATTTATGGCATAAAAACGTGCCGAATTACGGCGTGGCGTCGAATCAAGTAAGTCACCTATGACCCCCTGCGGAAGATCATGCCATAATCTTTGCAAATAGGCTGTTAATTCACCAATATTCCAGGACGGCTACGGCTCTAGTTGCCTTCCAAGCATGTCCCAAACGTGTTTTGATGGCGAAAGGTCTAGTGAGCTGGCAGGCCATGGGAGTACTTCATATCCTTGAAGATATTGTTGGGAGAGATGCGGACGCAGTTTGCTTTCTCTTTAGATGCGCTTTGCATTGCATTGTTTTAACGTTTTCATTAGTGTTGAAGTATAAGGACTCTGATAATACTGCCTGATATTGTGAACACTTGTACGAATTTCTCTGAGGAAAATTCCAGCTTTGTGATATATTTCTTTTGATAAGAATAAATTTTATTAACCTATTATCGGACTTATATATTTAATCTTTTACGAATCCGTACGCACGCAACAGTATAGTTGATTACTCGCCATGGGATCAAAATGCATAATGGTAACATTATGCATTTAGATCCCATGGCGAACGATTGGTTATTAGATCCATGCTGTAGAAGAAAGGCAAAGCCTCTTCATTAAAACGTCCGCCTATTTTTAAACGAAAAAACAGAAGTTAGAAGTATTTTGGACAAAATGAAGATATTTTGGCAGTGTATCAGACAAGTGATTACATATCAGGTTATGAATAAATCCGAGAAACATTCTCAGAATACCAAAATTTATTTTAATGAAATAGAAGTAAAATTATTATCGCTTTTGTGTGTTTTACAGATATACGTAAGGCCGCCTGTATGGTAGAGCTTATGACTAGTTTCTCGCAATTGCAATAAATATGTTTTGAGTTTAAAATGCAGTAGGAGTACGCAACTTCGCAACCTTACCCAATCATTATAAGGAGTTAGATACTCTACCTGCCACCACTCAACACAGGGTAATTTTACAGTCACTCCCACAGAAGTGACCACCCCCCCTTCAAGCTGAATTTCTATTAATACATTAAATTAGTATAGATCATAAAATTAGATAATTCTATAGATCTATAACTAGGTAGTTGCCTGATGCGACATTTGAAGGAAAACAGCGATGATTACGCATTTTTTTAAATAAAATAGATTAGTATAGATCTGGCTTGATAGGATAGATTTAATGTATTAATAGAAATTCAGCTTGAAGGGGGTGGTCACTTCTGTGGGAGTGACTGTAAAATTACCCTGTGTTGAGTGGTGGCAGGTAGAGTATCTAACTTCTTATAATGATTGGGTAAGGTTGCGAAGTTGCGTACTCCTACTGTGGGCATTTTAAACTCAGGTTAACATGTTTAGTTGCAATGTAGCGAACGTATCTGACTCTTTATAATGATTGGGTAAGGTTGCGAAGTTGCGTACTCCTACTGCATTTTAAACTCAAAACATATTTATTGCAATTGCGAGAAACTCTTTACACACATATATATAATTCATAGATAGCATACACAAGTATTTAAATGAATAATAGTCCTCGTAGTGTGCGCAGTCTGCTAACGATCGAGAGCTCATAAGCATTGTAGGTCTGTCTAGTTGAGAGTTCAGGATCGTTCTTCTGATGTTACTCCAATGGCGAAAATCTTCAGACTGAATTAGCCACGCCTCCTTAATTTTACAGTAGCATTTTACATCCTCTGATTCGTTTATCTGGAACGATATCAGAGAAAAAATCAGATCATTGGTTTGTCAACCCTTCTGCAGTCGAGAGGCTTTGACGACAGACACGGTGTAGAACGTTAAAATCTCCTGACACTAGTCATGAAGTTATGTCTCTGCGATGTCCATATCGTGTGACACATCGTAAAGGTAGGGAGCAGTGAATTACTGAGACCGCACACACGATTTACTTATCTCTATGTGGTCCGCCGCAATCTTAATAGAGATCGTTATGGAAACGTTTTGCGAGAGTTTCTCAGTAAACGTTGCCACAACAATAGAAATTATTTTCGACAGTATCTCAATTAAAATCCAGAAGGTATATCTTATATATACTAGGAGAAGATGTCTTATCATGGTAGACAGCTCTGGCTTCGTATTTATTTAGATATGGTATTTCCTTCTGTAGGTTGTCAAAGATAATATCTCTGTGAGTTCACTTTTTGCTAACCTCAAGGGGCATTGGAACCGTATCACTGACACTGTGGCTCTGATTGATCATGATATACATAAATGTGGGGTCGAAACGTTGTATTGTTTAAATGCTTACCACATATGCAAATGTAGACACACTGAGCATTTGGGAAATATGCTAAGAATATTGTTACATTCGCTTTTTTTTCTGCGTAGTTAAATTTTGCACCAGCTGCCTACTTTACTCGCAATAATATTTTTAAATATTTCTCTGAATTTTGAACAATCCCGCACATTGAACTAATTTACGGCACGTAACATTTCTCCTGAATTCCGCAAAATGCCGTTATTTTTGACCGAAAAGACATAAATTCTAAAACTCTAATCCCGAATTTCAAAGTTTGCACGTCAGTCGTAAACGAATAACTTGCTAGGACAATAAAGTAAGATCCTAAATTCTGAAATAATCAGCAAAATGTTAAAAATACTTGAATTGAATATAAAAAACA